AAAAAAAAAAAAAAAAAAAAAAAAAAAAAAAAAAAAAAAAAAAAAAAAAAAAAAAAAAAAAAAAAACAATTATCATTAGTAAATCAATTTTGAAAACAAATAAATTTCTTTTAAAGTTTTTATTACTTTAAATTATTAAAATAATTTTCATTCATTTCTCTTAATTTTGCAATAAATCTACTAAAATTATATAAAATTTTAATCGTAAATGCTTATTATATGACATATTTTAAATTAAGATTTATATTATAAATAATTTGATATTTCTGAGTTTATTTAGCCATTAATATTTAATAACCGTTCTCAAACAAATGATTTTAATAAAATTATAAATAATTACTCTGATTTTAAGAAAAATAGTTTTATATTTTTATTATTTTTTATTTTAAACTTTTAAAATGGTTTATTTTTATAATTTTTAGCTCTCTGTCTAAAAATGTTTTAACCCTACCCAACACTCTTAATTAATTAATTAATTTAATTAATTGAATGTTATAAATGAATGCGGTTTAATTTAGGTTGCATTTAAGATTTGATGTAACCCTAACCATTTTTGGAGAGTTATTATTACTACCAAATGCAGTTTTTTACTATAAATGAGGAAGCAAAAACAACCATTTATTCATAACTTTAATTTAATGAATTTAATAAAAACGAACCGTTTCAAACTTAGAAAGCCTTCATATCATCAAGAAATTAAAACTGAATTTGAATGTCATTAATCCAATTTTCTCTATAAAACCCCTCAGCCCCAATTACAAAGGCCATCTTAGACATGGCTTCCTCGTCTTCCGCCGCCATCCTCGTCCTCGTTGTCTCTTGCATGTCACTTGTTTGTTCGGCCCGACATCTAAAAAAGATCGTCGTCGGCGGTCCTCAAACTTGGGAGTTTGGCATTGACTATAGTGATTGGGCGTTAAAAAATGGCCCTTTTTACGTCAATGATGTTCTTGGTGAGCTTAAATTGAATGCATCATATTAGAATAAGACCGAATTTGTTCAAAGGTTTTGTTTTTGCAGTTTTCAGGTATCCGGCTCCAAATGGATTTGGATCTCCTCATAGTGTTTACTTGTTGCCGAACTTGGAGAGTTTCTCCAAGTGTGATTTTTCAAAGGCTCGAGAGGTAGCGAATACGAGCCAAGGAGAAGGAGATGGGTTCGAGTTCGTGCTCGAACAATCTAAGACTTACTACTTTGCATGTGGTGAACGCAATGGGTTGCATTGCATTGATGGAAACATGAAATTCTCTGTGTTACCAAAAGCTTACTAGAAGAATATTCATGTTCTTTTTAAAAAAATTATGCACTTTGTGTTTTATCACGAGCGGGTAGCAATGTCAAACCAAATTCATTCCTAATAATGGTCGGAATTTCTTCTAATATGTCTTTATATTCATTCGATAAACTACATATATAAATTATATACAAATTATTATTGTTCAAAGTTTATTACAAAACGTGGACTAGAGAATAAGATACAAATTTGAACGATACTAAAAGACCACAAAATTCACGCAAGACTAACGACCCTGTCTATGACTGCATAGCTTCTGAATACTCCGCTATCTCGACCAATAGTCAGTGAAAATCTAAAAAAGAAATGTAAAATTGAGTGAGTATAAAAATACTCAGTAAGAAACTTACTTGTGGGCTCTCATGGCATCCAATCCTATTAAGTTACCACGGACTTTTTTTTGGGCTCTAGAAAGTTCGAGCCTAAGTTCAACCTAATCTTCTGAGAAGGTCTTGAAGTTCCAAGTAGTTCTCTTGTTTGTCACAAATTCACTCTTGGATCTGGAAGTTGTTAACGCATTTCTAGCGTATTGAATCTACTAGACAATGTAACTTAGCTTTGGAGTGGATTTTTTTTTGTTTTTTTGTTCTCGTACTTTGTATGCTTACTTTGCCTGGTTAGATGGCACGACTTAAAGACGGTATGATATTTTTCTCTAAACATCGTTATGTAATTAACTAGCGACCCTTCCATAAGAATCACCATAGTAGCAAAAGTCTAGTGTAGTGATCTCGCACACTAACTAGCCACTAAGTTTACTTATGTGGTCCCTCTCTCCCTCTCAGGATGGGTTTACCGTACAATAATCATATTCAAGGAGCCTCTGGTTGACTTTTTTGTACTTAATCACAAATTAATTAATTGATATTTTGATCATAACAAATATGCATTTAATTGCTATTCAGTATTTTGAAGTGTCTATAGTATAAAGCTTGAAATGACGATTCCAATACCGTTTGAATCACTCAAATCAGGACTAAAAAGGAAAAAAAATTAGAGCCAAAATAAGATGGAATTGAAAATATCCAACATAATGACATGATAGCTGAGTTGGCAACATGAACCAATCAAATGATGACACATGAAGTTTGAGAAGAGTAACACGAACATGTGATTGCATTTTCTAGCCACTTATCGAGTATTTCTTAAAATATCAACTCAGGTGCTATTCATACTTTTCAAGTAAAGGCAAGGCACCTCTATACGAATGACGATGTCGCAGTGATGGTTATGAGACTGAAAACAGGATAGAAATACTCGTATTATTTAGATTAGATTAGTGCATCCCTCAGTTCAAAAGTTATATAAAATTTATAAATAGCATTTATTATCACAAAAATGTATTCATGAATCCATTTTTTCAAGCTTGAGCTATTGGTGTTACAGAGAACTTCATGGATCCAAGTTTGCAATGGAAGCCATTGCCTTCACCGCAAGCAAAGTAGTAAGGATTTTGCTGGTTGAGTACAAACTCAAAGCCATCTCCACTTCCTTGTGTTAAATTTGCTACCATTTTGGCTGTTCCAAAGTCACAATCCACCAAGCTTTGCATGTTTGGTAGCAAATAGACGCTATGGGAAGGATCGTATTTGAATACTGCAAAAAATAATTACTTTTGATAAGTTCGGGAGTGAAATTTTGTAATAATAAGTATGAAAAATCACGATGTTAAAGTTACCTAGAATATCGTTTAGATAAAAGGGTCCGTTTTTAAGTGCCCAATCATTATAGTCAGAGCCAAGACGCCATCGTTCTGATCCACCAACGATGATTTTTCTTGGAATTTGTGGAGTCGGTGATGGAGGTGGGGATGGGGATGGGGATGGTGATGGTGATGGAGGTAGTGATGGTGGAGATAATGGTGGTGGCATTGGTCGTGGTGGAGGTATTCGTGGTCGTTTTGATGGTGGTGGTGGTGACGGTGGTGGCACCTGTCGTGGTGGAGGTATTCGTGGTCGTTTTGATGGTGGTGGCACCTGTCGTGGTGGAGGTATTCGTGGTCGTTTTGATGGTGGTGGTGGAAACAGCGGTGGCACATGTCGTGGCGGAGGTATTCGTGGCGGTCGTGATGGTGGTAGCGGTGATGGTAGACGCCTTGATTGTGGGGTTATAGAGAACTTCATGGATCCAATGTTGCAATGGAAGCCAATGCCTTCACCACAAGCAAAGTAGTAAGCTTTTTGTTGTTTAAGAACAAAATTAAACCCATTTCCACTTCCTTGTGTTAAATTTGCCACCAATTTAGCCCTTCTAAAATCACACTTGTTGAAGCTTTGCATGTTTGGTAGCAAATAAACATTATGAGGGGGAGTTGAACTATTTGGACGATCGTATTTGAACACTGCAAATCGTTGAAACCATTCCAAAAAGTTAAGCTTCAGAATTAAATTTTGTAAACAAAACTGAACTTATAAACAGCTTACCTAGAATATCGTTCAGATAAAATGGACCGTTCTTAAGTATCCAATCATTATAGTCAAAGCCAAGACGCCAATATTTAGAACCACCCACTATAATCTTTCTTGGATTTTGTGGGGTCGGCAATGGCGGTGTTCGAGGCCGTCGTGATGGTGGTGGGGATGGTGGCAACCTTCGTGGTGGTGGTGTTCGAGGTTGTCGTGGTCGTGATGGTGGTGTCCGAGGTTGTCGTGGTCGTGATGGTGGTGTTCGAGGTTTTCGTGGTTGTGATGGTGGTGGTGACGGTGGCAGACGTCTCCATGGTGGTTGTGGCAAACATCGTGATGATGGTGGCGGGAACGGGGGACGTTTATGCCTAGAACTGAAAAGAAAAGTGGTATTACGAGCCCTAAACCAACCCGGGTCGGCCGAGCTTAGAGTTGACATACACGCTAACACGTAGAGAACGATAACGTTAGAAAATATGGAAGCCATAGTTAGAATGTGAAGCTTTTCTTGATAGTTTTGTGAGAGTAATGGGGGTATTTATATTGTGAGAAATGTGCAAAAAATCAAATATTTGGTTTGTAAAATGTCCACAATTTGGGTCTTCCACTTGTGAGCCTAACTTCCATTAAAGTTTTCATAGTGCAATTCAAACATGATGGTAAGCACTAATGGTATCAACAACATACCAAGTGATATTTTCACTATTTTTTTAACATGAATAATATATTAATTCAAATTTTCTAGACTATAATAATAATTCACTAAGCTACCCGCTCACACTAGAATGTACGAAATATTTAAAAAAACATTCACAGTAACAATGTTAAGCTACCCGCTCACACTAGAATGTACGAAATATTTAAAAAAACATTCACAGTAACAATGTTAAGCTACCCGCTCACACTAGAATGTACGAAATATTTAAAAAAACATTCACAGTAAGAATGTTTGCTTTGCTTAATCCACCCACTTAAATAATGTGTGAAAGTTCTCCATTTATAATCAAATAAATTACATATCTGTAGTAATAAGACAAATATCTAGACATTTGCTTTATAATAAAATTTCAAATATGATATATATGGTAAACTATAATTTAGTATTAACATAAAAACTCAATGAAATTTAGAATGGAATATAAGAGGTTATCTTTATATTTGGAAGATTGGACGAAGACGGGGAAGATTGGAGAATTGACCAGGGATGCGGACGGAGAATATAATCCCGTCCTCAACCTCACTTATCTAGCGGGAAAAAATCTCTTCTCCCTCTCTCCCTCATTCTCCATTTATACAATAAATCTCTGTCCTGTTTAGTGCAGGTTCCCAAGAGGCCTCGACCTAACAGTTAAATGAACATCTTATCTTGATATTTTATGGACCTTATCACTTCGAGCAAGACATAGTATTTTTAAAGTTTCAATTTATTTTTTGGACGGTCAAAGTTCAAGAGTATTTTTAAAATAAAATATTAGTCTAAAATTATTTTTTTTTTCTTGAAAATATTATTTAAAAAAATTAAATTGAAGACTAACGATATTTTGAATTTTTATGAGTCTTCCACTGATATAAAGAGTCAATAAAAAAAATGGGAAACCTATAGTTTTAATTATGGCTATAAATGAAAAATAATAGTGTGACAATTTGAAGCATAAAGGTGTGGTTTTACCAATATGACCTCTCTAAATGTGATGACATTTTAGTGATGTCATGTTGATGCTCTTATATCCATAATATATTTCTTTTGGTTTCTTAATTTTTAAAAAATACCATAATCGAAAGTGGGCTTGATACGGAGTAAAACGGACTGAACATGAAGGTAGTCGAGCTATAATCAAAAGAAGAAAAAAAAGAGAAATTTGGGTCAAAGTCCAAGTTCTTTAGTTCGAGTCTGACCTTAAGAAGCATTCTCGACCTTGTGATCCTAGTTTATCTCAATTCTGCTCCTCTTTTGTCCTAACCCTAAAAAGACACAACGAAACTCTTATGGAAAGGTATATAAACATTTTTTATCTTTCATGACAATTTATGTCACCACTGTACATTACTGTAACAACCCAAGTCCACCGCTAATAGATATTGTCCGTTTAACTCGTTAAGTGTCACCATCAACCTCACGGTTTTAAAATGCATATGCTATAGAACGGATTTCACACCCTTATAAGAAATGTTTCGTCCCCTCTCCAACCAACGTGGGATCTCATAACCACATCGGTCACGTTGTTTCCCGACCTATTCTTTATGTGTCTATGAATTTCGGTTAAAGTTTCATGGCTCCAAGTGGAGTGGGGATTGACTTAGTATTTTCAACCCTTTCCTCTTTTCTCTTTGCTTTTCCATTGATGGTGGAAATGGAAACTTAAAAGATTTGGACTTTATTTGTTCTTTGGATGAAGGCTCACCAACCCATTTCCTCGTCTCTTAAAAGATCTATTTTGGTTAATCTACCCTTTTGAAAATGGTCAAAGGCTACAATGTACCTTATAATAATTGTATGACTTTTTCGATTTTTTAATATGGAATCTTCGAACATGTTGGTACCACTTCGGGTTTACCATTTTTTAACTCAATACTCGTTCGAGCTTCATGGGTTTAGCTATCATATTAAATAAACATTGAGTTTTTCATATCAAACTCAATTGACAATGAGATGAACCATCAGATTCTTATCTCTTCCATGTGAGAATTTTAACAAATTTGTGGTGGAGGGGAACTTGAATCTCTAAAAAACTAATAATAGGTAGTAACAAGAGGTTAGGCTAAGAGTGGCATATCATTGTCAAGGGATGCAGTCCCTAACCTCGTATGAGTCATACATTTAACTTAATTATGTCAATATAATTCTTAAATGTCAAACACAACGAGATTGTGAGTCTCGAAGGTGTAGTCAAAATACTCGCTCTAGAGAAGAAGTCGAGCCTCGATTCAAGGGAGGCTCTATAGTGTACTTTGTTCGATGGGAGAGTCCCTAATTAAGGGAATGATTATGCATAATTGGTCACTTCACGATATCAGATAAGCCTATGTTAATACCGGGTCTCTCTGTTTCCAAATAAATTTGTCTATCAATAATATGGATCACATTAGTGGGAATATAGGCCAATACGTCTCCAACTTGTGTTTCAATCACGGATAAGGCGGTCAAGCTACCTGCATCTATCTAGTCCAATCGTTTAGCAACTCTTTCTAAGGGACGGGAATGTAGGAATGTAAATAGAAAGCATTGCTTCAAAAAGCCTCACGACCTGGTGATCGGCGTAACAATAATGATATTTTTCAATATGCCAACTTCTGTCTACTATTGTAAGAAGTTGTAAAGCTCGGAGGTGTAATCAATTGAGTAAAAGTGACTCAACGGCTATTCGAGAGTTCCATAAGTTTTAAAAAAAGTTCTATGATGTCATTTGTTGGAAAGAGAAAGATCGAGAATATTATGAAAATCCTTCAAAAGCTCAGCAGCAAAAACACAATAAAAGAAACTCCTTTTGGGTTTAGAATTCAAGCCCCTCCATCTGCCTGTAAATAATGCACACAATGCCTTTGTTCTTCTTTTATCTCCGGCAGAATTGGCATTGCCATAGGAACATCGCCTCCTGCCGCGGCCGACAGTGGAGGCCTCGACGGTGGAACGTCGTCAAACAGGATGAGCATTTCTTCTCAATCCATCCTTCAACGTCATACTGACCACCGCCAACTACACGACGACCTGAGAAAAGCCTCCCAATCATCCCGGCTACGGTGCCAAGAATCACAATGACTACAAGGACAGCAATGACGGGGCCGACTGGCACATCGGCACCAACATGGCTTGAGGCAGCTTGTCGGGGCATTGTGTCAGCTGTGGCAATGGACATTATGTTCAAAGAGAATAGTTTGTGAGGATTTTTTATTGGTGTCTTTCAACATTTGAAGTTAGTGTGTGATTCAAATTGTGTCTTTATTTCAAAAGGAGAAAGGGTTTTAAGGGATTGATATGTTGGAAACGAATCAAGGTCCCATATGATCTTGCTATAAAAGTCGCACAAACTCTCGTGAAATCAACAAAATTTCCCATCAACTTTAAAAATTTCTTATCTAAATCTACTCGTTAAGGTTTTCAAATTCATCCCGACAACAAATTATTATTATTATTTTCTAGAGAATTATGAAAGAGTTGTGGTTATATAGATTTTGGATTGGATTGGATAAAAAAGAAAAAAAAAAATTTTGGACAACTCGAAAATTTTAGATTGACTGAGTAGTCCAACACCTTTTAATACCCATCATCGACCAGTCGGTTCTTAGTTTGTTCGTTGTTCGACTAGTCCAACACCTTTTAATACCCATCATCGACATTAACAACATGACAATTCTTTCGAATTTGCCCATCACGGCCACTCAAAACCCTAACCGTGTTCAACCTAAACATCGACTCAGCAAAGTCATCATAAAACAAGTTCGTATCAAAACTATATTGTCTAACCATTTGAGCTGTGTTGCTGTCGGCCATTAGACCATGGTCGGACTCCAAAAGCCCCACGCCACTAATCAAGTTCGTGTAGTACTCATTGTCGAAACTGTCAACAGTGGCCACATCCAGAGGGGCCAAATTGGCGTTGGTGCCGTCGTTTCTGTTGGGGCACATGGATTGCAAGTCAGAGAGCATGGCTGCATTGATGTCAGGGTCGGGCTGGCCGGAGCCCTTGTAGTTGAAGAGGCGGAGCTTGAATGTCACGCAGCGAGCGAAGCCGATGGTGTGTGCGCCTGATAGCACGACGAGGTCCTTTAAATCGAGGCCCTTTGAGGTGAACTTGGCGGTGTTGTTCTCTAGAGATGCCTTCGGAGATGGGAGTTGTTCTTGAACGGATTTGAAGTTTGCTGTTAAGCCATCTCTACGTCCTAGTGGAACCCTCCAAGATGGCCCTTCGACCTATGTGGTGAAATTAATACTCTCGTGTTAGGTGAAAAATAGAAAATTTGAGCCCGCTAGCATATTGACATTTTTTTTTTATCGGGTCAACTTAACCAACTTGAAAAACACGGTTACAACTCAACCATATCCTACATTACTTTTATTATGAATATTAAGAATATTTGACGTTTGTAACAGATGTTAGTGATGATATTTGAGTTTTATGAGATTTTGGTTATTAAGTTAAAAAAAGAACCACCCGACTACTCTACTCAACCCAACCCAAAAATTGGATAGGTTGGATTGAGTTGTGAGTTTTACCTGGGTTGTTCAGGTCACTAATCCAACCCACCCGAAACTTTTCAATCTCAGTCTAGGCAAGAAAATAAAATGAAAATGATAGAAAATAAACAAAAAGAAAAAAAAAACATTGAACGAACAAATTATAAGTAGAGAGGAATTTACCTGATACACAGCTTCTCTAGTTGCAAGACTTAATATATCAACACAAGAAACTGTCTCGGGACAATATGTTTCAACATCTGTTTTTATGGCATCAATCACTTCAAACCCTCGTAGCGATTTCACATTGCCTGGAGCATTTTTCTCACCTTTCATGTCTTTAGTATCATCAAGCAACACGGATGCATCACATCCCTAAAACAACACAAGAACATAATAATTTCATCTTCATTATCATTATCACTAATAACAACATATAAACAGACTTTACATACGTCTACAATACAATCATGGAACTGCAACCGTAGTAGTGATGCAGCAATTCTCGTGTCATTTTGTACAGCATCCCAAATATGATTTCGAATTATCATAGGCAAATGAGGACACGACTCGTCGTAAAAATCATATCTAAGCTCCGTAGATTGAACGAAGAAGACGAATGGAAGAGTTAGGAAGAGAAAAGAGAGGCTAATGGGAGGGTTTGGAGCCATTTTTTTAGTTGATAAGTATGTAGATTTTCATGGTTTGGTTTTATAGGCAATGAAAATTGGATCCAAGGCTTAGCTTTGTGGCCTTTCCACTAATTATTGCAAAAAACAAGATCAAGTTGGCTAAGGGAAAAGTAATTAATGTTTAATCAACATGATTAGCATATCCTTTCACTTATTTTATTTCTTGATTGTTGATTAAATGCGGTGGCCATTTTGATTTGGAAAAAAATTAATATAAATGGATATGAATGTGTAATCTAGTCAATATTCGAACATATTATCCAGACAACCGACTTGCTTCTACACTAAATCAAGTCATTCAGCTCGATCTTGTCTCTACTCAGGGTCAAAGTCTCTCAATGCAACATCACATCCAACACCATCTTAGTTTCCAATTAACATGATCCTCATGTCTTGACGTCATCCCAAGTCATGGGACATCATCAACCATCGTAGCTCACTCGGTCATGCCCAAGAATAGGCCCACGTGTCGCTCATAACATCGAGACATCTCAAACATCCATTCATCCTAATTCTATTGAGTTATTGGCTCTCCCATGCCCATGTATGTCATTTACGGATACCGTATCAACCTTCGACACATGGGCATAGGGGCAATACCAACACACCCGTGCTTCCCAGTGATTCCTAATAGAACTTTCGACTTCATTACAAAATATTAACTACACGGTAGTCAATGTACATGCTATTGATTTCAAATAGAATTTGCATAAAAAGAACGATATGGAATCCTCATATCCAGATTCAACACTTACGAGCCTCGATATTCTCCTGCGACATAACCTCGTATATACTTATCTTAAACTAAAGTAATATTCTCCTGCAACACGGTCATTTTTATTTGAATATAGTCTGGTATTATTCATATATCCTTTAATTTCTCTTAAAAGTTTTTTTTTTTTTTTTTTTTATAAATAAATCTATTTTAACCCATCAACAAATATTATATTAATTATGTATGGTGCATCTTCTTTCTAATGCATATGTGTCATCCACTTAACATTACATTATTAATTACTTTAATTTCCACAAGATAACACCCACTTCAATAATTATCTTCCTATAAATGAATAATTTTATAAATGAAAGTTTGGATATTATGAGAATGTGATATTATTTTCTTAAAAAATATCCCATTACATTGCACATAATATATCAAAAACTATGCATACATGGAAGGCTTATTTTAATTCTAATAATGATACTTATAAATTTGTATGGGCTAATTTTTCGATTTATTAATTCAAATACTTTTTAAGTGTATAATTATTTATCGGGTGGCATTCATATTCATAATATTTGAGTGGACGCGAAATGGAGTCTACTTTTGTTGTATAAAGAAATAGTATTAAATTTTTCTCTCGAGTAATTTTCAAATGTTATTTTTTGTGGATATTTGGGACAGTAAATGTTTCAAAACTCTAGGGTGGTTTGAGCCTAATCCCCGAGGAACATAGAAGAAACGTTACTTTTCATTGACGATCAATTGGGCAGTGTTTTTCGTGTGAGAGAGGGGCTAAAATGGAGGAGATAGTTGAGTGTTTGTGTGAATTCGAGCAAGTCATCGAATTTCTCGTAATCACTTATGATATTATGAAACTTGGACTCACGTTTCTTGGTAAAGCTTTTACGCCTTTGACCGTGGTTCAAAGCCTTCCACACCCTCGTATATTTCGTGAACTGTGTTTATCCAACCATCCCGACTTTATGCAACATATTTGTACTAGATGCTAAGTTATTCGATTAAGGTCGAGAAATTTATAGTTTGAAAGTGTGAGATCCCTCATCAGTTGGAGGGGAGAATGAAATATTTCTTATGAAAACTTCTCCATAGTAGAAGCATTTTAGTGATACGTAACAAGTCAAAACCAACAATATCGACTAGTGGTGGGTTTAGATTGTGACAAATGGTATCAGAGTCAGGCAGGCAGCATACCAGCTAGGATAAAATATTAATTTTCTCCATTAATAAATTTCAAAATTAAATATTTCATAGTTCAATCTTATACAAACTCATTCGATACATACCATTACAACCATATATAATCATTTATTTCAATAACTCTATGTTTCATTCAACCAAACCTCTTAAAAACATTCCAAAAAGTACTTCAATACATACAAGAATTAATCCAACAACTCTATGCTAAAAAATAAAAATTACATTTGAATTTAGTCCAAAAAGCAAGAAAAACTCCAAAACCGGCCAAAACAGAAGTGAAGCCAACATGAAATGCAGTAAGTCAGACTCGACCCGAACAGGTTCGAATACACGTGAACTGAACTAAACCGTTCGAAAATCCATAAAATCGATCTGAAACTGGATCGAACGAGCCTAAAACCCAATCAAAACAGTTTGAAAGACCAATTTTCTTACTTGTTCCAGATGAACATTTTTGCTCATTCCTCTATGAAGATGGCAGCTACGATCATTGGGAAAAATCCAGTTCCGGCAAAGGAATTACAATGGCGAACCATGGTGGTGCAACACAACAGCAAACACCCTGAAATGGAAACGAGACAGAGAAGGAGATCGACGAGCACAAAACGACAACTTGAGGGAGATTTGAAAACAAAACAAGGCTTACCTACAACAACTGGAATCGCGCGATTTTCGTCCCCTCGCCGATGGTTGCACAGATTTCCAACACATCGACGAACAGGTCAAGACAATATGAAAAGGATAAAGCTAGAAAAACAGTTGAAGTTGCTCACAGTGAATGATGGCTAGCGCCACATTATACAAACCAAAATCCTATCAAACATGTCGATTAAAAAGAAGAAAAAAAAAAAGGTAGAGCAGCAAAATTGTCATAGTTCCTTCCACCGTACTTCAACAATCAAAGAGAGATTTCCCTACATTTCTATTCATTCAAAATACAGATTTAGAATTTAATGGCTTGCCTCGTCCCATGGTGAAACCTTTCGTCCCATCAGGCATTCTCGGACTCTTCGAAGTGAGTTTTGAAGATGCTTCACATAGAATCTGACTACTCGATTGCATAGCTGTAACTGGTAAGCTATAGCTACGATCGAGATGGTTATGAACTCGTCCACGGCCCTTCCCACGGCCTCGACCCCAGCCCTTTTTAGATGATGTAGAGTTCTCCTCAGACTAGTACAACAGACATTTCATGTCATTCGGGAATTACAAATCATTTTGATCAAGAACGACACAGTTTTCGGGGTGGGGGGGAAAAAAACGTACACTGAAGTCAGTAATCAGTTCAGCAATATTTGACTGAGGAGATTCTTGCTCAATAGATACAGGAGATGGTGAATCATCTTCATCCAGAATACTTTCAAATTCTGATTTTCGAGTCTTCAGAACTGATTTTGGCTATCCATCATCGTAATAAGCATGGCAATAAGCATGAACATGTAAATAATCAAAATGCAGCAAGAGGAAACAAAACGCTACCGTTGAGATCGTGTTATTACACTTACCGAGCGTCTGAGTAATAACCTTACTCGGAGCCCTTTCCTCCAGTTTCTCTCATCATTTAACTTCTCAGCCTAGCAGGCACAAAAAATGGGGGAAAGACAATAAAAAGATTGAAAAACAAGAAACTCGATCTGCTGTAGCTTACTATTAGATGCATACCGCTCTGTCAGCCAACTCTACGGTCTCGTATTCCACAAGTGCATGAAGCTTCAAGCAAATGAAGTAACAATGAGAAAGGGATTTTGAGGATAAGTGTCTTGGTTATACATTAAAGTAAAGCATGATTCACAATACCTTGTTACTGATAAATAATTCACCTTTAGAGCAGCAGGGATTTGATTCCGGGGGATGACAGATTCGGATCGTCTTCACACTGGTCAGGTATCATTAATGAATGATGCTCAGTGAAGACAGTTTTAATATCAAATAGAACAAGGAATAAGACTGAGTGATGATGTCAATGAAACTACCTCCCAATGACGCTAAATATTTTCTCGAGGTTGTGGTGCGAGTGATTGTCAGGCAAATTCTCCACAACGACTGTACGAGACTGCAAATCAATGAACAAAAACATTACACCTTGCTCAGCTAAAGATAACTGTTCTGCACCATTTGTACAATGGTTGATATCTTACCAGCAATTCCTCTTTGTCCTTGTCCGTAAAGGGATGCTTACGCTTAACTTTCTTCCCATCAGCGCTAACAACCTTCAGAAGATCAGATATGAGTCAGAATTCTTACTTTATCCAGAAAGACTGGAAAATTGAGTGCTTAACTTTAGAACTTACAAGCTTTGAAGAGGAGCGGAGAGCTTGAACTATCAAATTGTTGTTGGTTGAGAGGGACTTTACTTTTTTGGTGGACGAAATAACAGAAATTGGAACTTCACAAAGGGAAATGAAAGAACAACAAATCATAATTCAGTTAAAAACATATCGAAAATTTGAATTAGCACATCCGGGTGATAGATTTCCAAAGATTATACCATAACCATCAGGATCTTTGCTAATGTTTTTTGCAAGAGATTCATTTGCAAGAAGACTCATGTCACTAAACTGATATTCTACCTGTAAAATTGAAATCGTTCATAAGATGCTCAAATGAATTTGATATGCATACGAGAAGGAATCCAATTAAGAAGAAATTCAAGGAGAAAAGTAATGGAAATTCTTAGACAATATGTGCATAAGCTTGTCCAATGGAAATTGAATACTAAAAATGATAGCGATTCTCATCCTTCAATGAACAGGAAAAGCAGAACTCGTGATTAATCATTCAGACGATCACAGCACAGGAATCAGGATAATGGAATCCAACGCGATGAAACATAAGAGAAACAGAGACAAAAAGGAATCAAGAACAGAATAAAACAGGGCACCTGTTTGACGATTTTTTGCTGAATATCCTCCGAACGGGCGTTCTTAGAGAAATTTGGGAGAGGAATGGTGGGATTGGGGATCAAATAGGTGGGTTCTTGATCGCCAATAAAGAACCAGTCTGAAGTTGCAGGAGCCCCACCAAGAAAATGAAAATA